AATTTATTAAAATAATTTTCTAAACCGCGACATAACGTCTAAAATTATTTTTCTAACATTGCTTTTTTATAATGCAAAAGTGTGACGTCGCACCATCTGAACCCCCCTCTCCCCCTCATCACACACCGTCACAAAATTACGGACCCCCCTCCCCCCTACGAGTGTGACGTCATTTATGTACTATCACGTCTTGACCCTTGCTGTCTACCATCGTGTACCATCATGTCTTGACCCTTGCTGTTTACCATCGTGTACCATCATGTCTTGTCCCTTGCTGTCTACCATCGTGTACCATCATGTCTTGACCCTTGCTGTCTTCCATCGTGTACTATCATGTCTTGACCCTTGCTGTCTACCATCGTGTACCATCATGTCTTGACACTTGCTGTCTACCATCGTGTACCATCTTGTCTTGACCCTTGCTGTCTTCCATCGCGTTCCATCATGTCTTGACCCTTGCTGTCTACCATCGTGTTCCATCATGTCTTGACCCTTGCTGTCTTCCATCGTGTACCATCATGTCTTGACTCTTGCTGTCTACCATCGGGTTCCATCATGTTTTGACCCTTGCTGTCTTCCATCGTGTACCATCATGTCTTGACTCATGTGGTCAACAATCATCCACCATCTCTAGATCTTGCTGTCTACAATCATACACTTTCATGTCCAGAGTTTTCTGTCTACAATCATACACTTTCATTTCTTGACCCTCGCTATCTACAATCATACACTTTCACGTCCAGAGCTTTCTGTCTACAATCATACACTTTCATCTCTTGACCCTCGCTGTCTACAATTATACACTTTCACGTCCAGAGCTTTCTGTCTACAATCATACACTTTCATGTCCAGAGCTTTCTGTCTACAATCATACACTTTCATCTCTTGACCCTCGCTGTCTACAATCATGCTCCACCATGTCCCCTTCCAACACCAATAAAATAAAGCAAGTAAACAAATGCCGGATTGCACAACAAACACCAATTTATTTGTTCTCAGATTTTCAGGGACGGTTACATTTATCCGACCACTCAAAAATAGCTGTACAAAAAAGTATCAAACGCATCAAACGATGAAATATAAATTATTCATAACTACGTGTTAAACACGGTTATGCCATTAAAGCTTTGTTATCTATGTTTATTTAAAACTAACTTCATACATAAAAAACATTTTTAAAAAATTTCAAACAAGTCATACATGTTACAAAATAGCTGAATTGAATGATAATATTTCTTAAAAAGAACAATTCCTATTGGTTTCAGTGTGGCTGGGTGTGTGACAAGGGAAGGAATCAAGTGAGTAATTAACCCCCCACTGGCCGTAACAAGGTTTGAGGATGCTAGCTGGTGGCACATAATGAAGCGATTTCCTCTACTTCAGGTTTCGTTGGTTTTATCGGCCTCGCTTAAAAGTATTTTAATCCCCGTGCTTTGGATGTAAAAAAAAAAAAAAAATTGTAGAGCTCAACTAAAGTTTTCCGGAGGAAAAAAAAGCCGACCCATCCCCCCCACTATGAACATCACCCTGAATTGGACGTTTTATTTCAGATATAAAGTATCAAGTCGAAAAATCTTTTATTTATTTTTTTGCATTTTTTTACTCTTCAAATATTGTCAGTTTAAATGTAAAATGTATTTTACGTTGACATGTAATTTTGTATTTACAAAGAAAAATATAACGGAAGATCAAATTGATATCTATTACACAGAACTTAAAATATCAATGAAAATAAAGTATTACTATTAAAAAGAAAAAAACAATAACGTTACAACTACTTAAATAGACGTTATTAATACTATAGCCGTCGATAATAAACTTTCTTAATAACTGAACTATCTATAACATGAAAAAGATTTCAATGGTTTTAAATATGAAATAGTTGTTATAAATGCATAAAAAAGATAGCTGTCAAATAAAAAAGTTACTCATTGTAGCTTAAAGCTATTGTTTTTAAAGCTGTTAATGTTGAATATAAAATAACCATCATTGTGATGTCGACATGAAACACTACATGATCTAAGGACGCATCAAAAAATGTTAAACTAAACCTTATAATGTTATTGGAGAAGGGAATGGGCCTGTCATTGATTGTAGCCAGAAACACCTTTCTCTTGCGTCCTTTCCAGAGTACATATAATTTTTTTTAAAATACATTATTTTAAAAATTCAGAAGCTTTGGTCTTGTATCAAGTATAATATAAAATTTTAAACCCATTAATATATAGATGAAACTTTTTTTCTTTAATTTTACATAATATGATACTTTTAGGAAAAATGTTTTTTTTACAAAAGATTCATTAAAAATGGACACAAGTAAAATGTTGATAAATCATCCGCATTGTGATCTTTTGGACACCGGTCACGTGGTCACGTGTCGAAGACATTCTATTTTCAATGAAGAAGATTGAAATTTTGTAATGAGTTCTGTTCACAATGAACATCTCTTCTAGCAGAACAATGCACGCCGCTATAGGAAAGACTACACCCCCATCTCATCAAGGGGAGACAAACAGGTGTTGTTTCTCTGCTTTCATACATAACTCTGTTTCTTTATTTAACTGAACATTTAAATGGGTAACTTAATCTCATTTCACTGCATTAAACAATTTTAATTATCATACACGATTAGATTTTATTCTTCAACGAAACAATTAAATGTGTAATTTAATCTGATCTTATTGCATTTAAATGTTAAACCTTAAACAATATTTTAAGTTTTTCTTGATCCAAACAGATTAATGTGTAATTTAACCTTTATCACAAAAATAATAGGTTTCTAGTTATACTAAATCAGTTCTAGTCAAATTACACCTGAATAAAGATTTAAATAATTTTTTAGTTATCAAAACAATAGCTAAGATCCGATGTAGTGTAATCCAGACTAGCCGTTTTAAAACGCGTTTTTTTTTGCCTGCTGCCCGTCATGACATTTTATTCTGCATGTTGTCAAATTACAAAGCGATCTGGCTCACAGAGCCCTCTTTTATCCTTTGATTTCTAATTGAAAAATAAGTCTTGGCGGACATCGTTGAAAGCTACACGCGATCGTCGCCCCTTCACATCGGATTGTTATGGTAATTTTTGTAATTACACGCGGGGCGACTAAGATGGGCAATTTTTGGTTTATCAGAGATTAAGTCATGTCTGGTGGTCGAGTCGCTAGTGCTCTGCTCGTAGGTTTTAGTGGAATAGATGCAACTTTGGTGGAATGTGGAATATTTTTACATTTTTCAGGAGTAAACGTGTGTCCCCATACTCGTTCATTAACACGGTGAAATTAAAACGTCAACCTAAATAAAAACTTACAATAAATATTTCTTCATCCAACAAACGAAAAAGAAATAATGAAAACATCCAACATACAAATGACTAAAAGATATTGTTTAAACTTCCCAGCATGATTCGAGCCTAGTCTACTGCGATGAGAGATAAACAAAAAATAGTTTTTTGGTGATTGAAAAGAGAAAGTAGTTGTATTGGATGGAGTGGTATAGTTATTTTTATAGGGCGATAAAAAGAATGTTGTTGTACTTTGGGTTAGGAGAAAGGTTTGTTGTATAAAGTGGTGGGAGAGAAAATAGTTGTATGGAGAGGTGGGAGAGAAAATAGTTGTATGGGGAGGTGGGGGAGAAAATAGTTGTATGGGGAGGTGGGGGAGAAAATAGTTGTATGGAGAGGTGGGGGAGAAAATATGGAGAGGTGGGGGAGAAAATAGTTGTATGGGGAGGTGGGGGAGAAAATAGTTGTATGGAGAGGTGGGGGAGAAAATAGTTGTATGGGGAGGTGGGGGAGAAAATAGTTGTATGGGGAGGTGGGGGAGAAAATAGTTGTATGGAGAGGTGGGGGAGAAAATAGTTGTATGGAGAGGTGGGGGAGAAAATAGTTGTATGGAGAGGTGGGGGAGAAAATAGTTGTATGGGGAGGTGGGGGAGAAAATATGGAGAGGTGTGAGAGAAAATAGTTGTATGGGGAGGTGGGGGAGAAAATATGGAGAGGTGGGGGAGAAAATATGGAGAGGTGGGGGAGAAAATATGGAGAGGTGGGGGAGAAAATAGTTGTATGTAGAGGTGGGAGAGAAAATAGTTGTATGGGGAGGTGGGAGAGAAAATAATTTTATGGAGAGGTGGGGGAGAAAATATGGAGAGGTGGGAGAGAAAATATTGAGAGGTGGGGGAGAAAATATGGAGAGGTGGGAGAGAAAATATGGAGAGGTGGGGGAGAAAATAATTGTATGGAGAGGTGGGGGAGAAAATAATTGTATGGAGAGGTGGGGGAGAAAATAATTGTATGGAGAGGTGGGAGAGAAAATATGGAGAGGTAGGAGAGAAAATAGTTGTATTGAGAGGTGGGAGAGAAAATATGGAGAGGTGGGATAGAAAATAGTTGTATGGAGAGGTGGGAGAGGAAATAGTTGTATGGAGAGGTGGGAGAGAAAATATGGAGAGGTGGGAGAGAAAATATGGAGAGGTGGGGGAGAAAATAATTGTATGGAGAGGTGGGGGAGAAAATAATTGTATGGGGAGGTGGGAGAGAAAATAATTGTATGGAGAGGTGTGTGAGAAAATAGTTGTATTGAGAGGTGGGAGAGAAAATATGGAGAGGTGGGAGAGAAAATATGGAGAGGTGGGAGAGAAAATATGGAGAGGTGGGAGAGAAAATATGGAGAGGTGGGAGAGAAAATATGGAGAGGTGGGAGAGAAAATAGTTGTATGGAGAGGTGGGAGAGAAAATAGTTGTATGGAGAGGTGGGAGAGAAAATATGGAGAGGTGGGAGAGAAAATAGTTGTATGGAGAGGTGGGAGAGAAAGTAGTTGTATGGAGAGGTGGGAGAGAAAATAGTTGTATGGAGAGGTGGGAGAGGAAATAGTTGTAAGGGGAGGTGGGAGAGAAAATATGGAGAGGTGGGAGAGAAAATAGTTGTATGGAGAGGTGGGGGAGAAAATAGTTGTATGGAGAGGTGGGAGAGGAAATAGTTGTATGGAGAGGTGGGAGAGGTAGAAGTGAAGTTGCATGGAAAGGTAGCAAAACGTTGAATGAGGTGTAAGAAGAGAAGTTAGTCTAGGAAAACCTTGCCAGTTGTATGAGGATCTAAGAAAGACATAACAGTTTAAAATGTACACAACTTGAAAAACAATGTGCCACGAATAACTTAACAATTTACTTTTCAAAAGATGAACGCTAATCTAGGAAAAACATAAAGCCAGGATTGACATGATATTGGATTATAGAAACAATTACCCAGACGGATGAAGTAAACTAGAGCCAGGTAAACAAACAGTAGGAAGAACTATTAAAGCTTGGACCATTTAGTTTTGGCAAAAAGACATTTTCCCATGTCTCTCATCTCGACAAATGTCCCCAATGGTCGACTAGTTAGACCACTACATATGAAGCCCACAACACATGGAATAACACTCTTGTCTATTGGTTATCTTTGCATCTAGTAACGATTACTTTACATAGCCTAGAAAATTTTGTGTTTTTAAAAAATCACAATAATTCTTGGGAAAATGATTGTAGTTAACTCATTACAGCTTTCACACAAGCTAATGGCTTAATAGCTAGCAAATGACTTTATAATTTTCTTGCGATTTAACAAATAGCTAATTAATACTCTAGTCGATAGCTTAAAAATTAGCCAATGACTTAAAATCTAGCCTATGGCTTAATGAAATGCTCATGACTTTTTTCAACTTTCACCGTGATCAATCAAAGAAACTGGAAGGTTGTTCGACACTTCGAGTTTGTGGTCTGTGTCCTTTCATAGTGTGAAAACACTTTTCTTACCGCGATGCATACACACGAATCATCCAGTTTTGACATGGGTGGTAGTGTTGTGATTTATACTTGAACATGCAATGTATAGCTTAACTAATGGCTTACTGCACTACAGCGATGTGACTATGTACACGCACAAATAATTTCAAGTGCTAGACTTAGATGGTTGAAGTATTTACAGTACACGGAAATTTAACACAGACTTGTAGAGCTATGAAGCTATCTAATATAAATATTTGCTCCGTTTCCATGGAAACGGGATAGTTTGCACGGGTGACTTTGGTAGCGATATAAATAGCAAGTTTTGGTCAGGTCCAGAGGTGCGTGGGCGCGGGGGTCAGCGGGTGTTGGAGGTGGGAGAGGTGGGACTGGTGGTGGTGCTGCGGCTGCTGTTGTTGCTGCTGGTGCTGGTGGTGGTGGCCCATGTGCGCGTGTGGTTGGTGCAGGTGGGGGAGCCCCACGTTCTGGTGACTAAGGTGAGCCGGCTGGGGCTGGTGAAAGTGGTGCAGCATGGACGTCAGGGCCGGGGTGATGCCAAGACCCATCTCGCCGCATGCGTTAAACTCTGGAATGATGCCGTTGCTGCCGCTGCTGTTGATGTTGTTGTTGTTTCCGCTGTTGTTGTTGTTGTTGTTGCTGTTGCCGCCGATGCAGCTCTGGCTGCTGTCTCGGCTGCTGCTGTTCCCCGGGTCTATAAAGTTGGGCGAGAGGATCGCCCGTGGGCTGGCGCTTGCCCTGTCTCCCTCGGCGGGGAGACCACCCCACTGTCAAACGGGCGGGACGGCGGGGTGGTGGTGGTGGTGGAGGTTGTGGTTGTGGTGCGGGTGGTGGTGCCGCTCAATGGCCTGGGGCGAGCACAGGAAGTGGGGCGAGAAGGGCGCGCCCTCGCTCTTGACCAGGGGCATGCTCTGGCGCATGTCCTCGATCATCTTGCTCTGCATGTTGAAGTCGCGCCCGTAGTCCATGTGGTGGCCGTGAATCATGCCGCCCTGGTGGGGGCCGCCCATGCCACACATCTGCTGCATGGCTTGCTTCATGCTCTCTTCGCTCATGTCTCGGCAGAAGGCATCC